AGAGAGAGAAAAAAAAAGTGTGACAAGTGGGCTGAGTTGGACGGGGGTGTGAGATTAATTGGTTGCTTGGTCTGTTGGATTCCACTAATAAATGTATGAAAAATGTCAGAAATGCCCTTAAAAAAGATATATTTTTTGCTTTTTTAATAACCATTAGATTGGATAATATAATAACTACGATTTGTTCTTATTTCTTTTCCTGGAGAACCATTCTCATGTGAACCCAACCTTTATATATAGATTAATGAAATTCCATAAAGGATTTATGGCATTGCATTTTATTTAGTTCATTCAAATTTAAATTTATTTCCATCCCTTTCTAATCTATATATATATAATTGCTAGCTAATCAATAAATAAAACCTAATAAATAAAACCTATTTAATTTTACCTAGCTGTCACTAACCTCTTTTCCCTCCATTTTCGGTTACTTTTTTATTAATTCTCCTACATTAATTAGGTTAATGATATAAATCCTACTTTTAATATTTCCAACTTCCAAAATCAAATGAGATATTATTTTTAAAATCTGATTTCATATTTTTTGACTGGGCCACATTATGTGAAGTTATATATAGATTTTTACGAAAAAAAAAGAAATACATAAATGATTTACAAAAAATTACAAATATCTTTTCTGATCTAAAAGTAAATAAAATAAAAAATGGAATATTCCAGCTCCATAATTGTTTATAATTCCTGCAATAAAGAAAAAGAAAGAAATATTAATGAAATCACATAAAATCATGCAATATAAGTAAAACATAATTCTGAAATTAAAGCAATTAATAAAAATCAAGAGGAAAATATGAAATAATAAAATATAAAAAAATATAATTATGAAAAAAGCAGATTCTTGGGGAAATTGCAATTATTGTTATCAATATCAATCAAACGTGGAATTTTGTATTTAATTATTATTTATACAAAAATTAATTATGAATTTGATGACATTAAATAAAGCTGACCAAGGTACAACAATTTTCAGCAAAAATTATGGGGATACATAGTAGTTTAGTATCCCAAGAAATTTTTTGATTAAATAAAATTTATAACCAAATTAATCATTTATTTGATGCAAATAAATTATTTTGACTATCACAATTATTTTTCTGCTGAAATTAAGGACATTGACACGTTTGGTGCCCTATAAATACTAAAAAAATTTCAGATTCTAATCACTTTCACACAACAACTATGATGGGTCTCTTCTCAGATCTGGAACGATCCAATGGGAAAACGTCCGGATCTGGGACGAACCGGTGTGAATGAGCTTAGATCTGATGTGATGGCGCTCGAACCGTTGTTGAACCGCAAGAACACCT